ATTGACAAGAATGGAGACCATTTCATTTAATAAAATGTTTTGTTTTGATATATAAGTTGTTTGGGTTTTTTTCTTCTAAAAAATGTAACATTAATTTCTTGACAACCTAATACTTTCTTATTTTGTCCACTTAGACATTTGAAACTTTAGTCTTTAATGTAAGGAAACATGCTACTTGAAATTGTTGAATTCTTTTTTTTTATGAATTAAAATTTCCTTTTAATCATTCTAATTCTAACTAATAAGTTTTGTCTTATAATATATATTTTATCCTTGCTTTTTTACCCTACCAGTCTGTAGCGTTAAACTTTCATAAGCTTTGTTTCTAATTGATGCTTTTGCATTTCACTGCTCAGGGTAGAATGTAAAATAAACTTTTTCTTCTGGTCTTAAAGCATCAATAAGTTTCAAACTTTGGAGTTACATAATATATGTAGCTACTGAATATCTGCTAATTCATGAATTGGGAATGTTAACTTCATGATAAACAGTAGATCTACAGAAATAATTAAAAAAGCGTGTTCAATGAACTTTTTAGAATATTCTCATTTCTTTTCAGCAAAAGGGTAAACACATGTAAAACCTTTAGAATAATCTTATGCTTTATTTGATCTTGTTATTATCATCATATTACACATCAATTTCATAACACTATAAACTGTTTCAGTTTTCACTGAAGATAGAATAAAACCATTTTGAAATATTCAAATTCATTAAACATGTTTTATTATTTTTGTCAGGTTGAATAATTGGTATTTTTGTAGTTTAGAATTTTAGGGTTAAAAAACTTCAAAAGCTTGTATATTTTGTTGTAAAAATAAATCCATAATTACATTATTCATGAATTTTCCTTTGTATGTTGAATTTTGAACAAAGTTACATTAGAGCTACCTGTTCTAACTGTCCCTAACTTTGAAGTGCTGGACTGAAGCTAGTCAACGTAAAAATAAATCCATAAGTACATTATTCATGAATTTTCCTTTGTTTGTTGAATTTTGAACAAAGTTACATTAGAGCTACCTGTGCTAACTGTCCCTAACTTTGAAGTGCTGGACTGAAGCTAGTCAACACCACTAACCCTTGGACTACTCTTGTCAAATAGTGGGATGTGACCATCCCACTATAATATTGCAGCTATAACCCCATTGTGTAGAACATAATAAATTTTCTTCATCAGTAGTGGAACATCAATAGTAGAACTTAAACTTTACAGTCCATCATTCTAACTATTGGACTGCACTCTGCCCACATTCTTCATGAAATGTTGTTGTTTTTTTTACAAAATTTTCAAGAACTAGATAAGTGAATAAAATGTGGTTTTGTTGTTATTTTTTACACTAGTGTTTGGGTGTGAATAATGAAATTTTCCTTGAACATACACCTTAAATGTTCTTAGTGCTTTAAAAGGAATTTTTAGTTTTTTCTTGCATCTCCACTGAATAATGATTCCTAGAGATTTGAACTTGACATTCCAAATATATCTTACTAAATGTAAGTACAATTAACATTATGCGACAGATCTTATGCATACTCTAATCATATTTCTGTATAGCATACCATAACATTATCATCAGGTTTTTATTTATGGTATTGTCATCAGATTTTTGTTGAATATACGGTCATCAATCAGATTTTTATACTTAGATTTTTTGTAATATATTCCTATAAGATTCTTGTTTTAATGTATGCTGCCATGAGGTTTTGTTATAATGTACTGCCATAAGATTTTCATGTAATCATCATATTCCTGTTCTTGTGGATCTAGATCTACTGACTGTAGTATCACAGGTGCTGTTCAGACTTGTAATTCTTACGTAAGTTTGTCATTTATATATGTAGCTATATTTCAAATAATTTTGCTCACTGTTTAAAAATATCGTTTTGTAGGATTGAATCTTATAATGGAATGCTTCTCCCTCCTCCTTTGTTTATTGAGGAGAAAAATGTTTTGGTTTCTATGTAGAATGTCATAGCATCGAGAAGAAAGTGTTTTCCTATTTGCAAAACAAGACTAGAGTTGTCCTTATAAATTTCTACTATACAGTGTATATGCTGCATAAAAGAAAAGAAAAATGCTAATATCTCCTGTGTTATTCAGATTACTTTCACTTTTTTTTGTAATATTTAACACTATTTGTTTCTTTAAAATTCATTTTATAAGGAACATATTCTTTTAAAATTAATGGATAGGATGAGAAGAATATAAAGTTTTGATGAATGTATAGAATTCAAGAATATTTGGGCCATCAATGTTTTTGTAATTTCTAAATTTTATACTGTATTTCATAGATCTGAGACAGTATTTAATAATTATTTCTAAACTAAAGCTGAGATTAATAAAACCGAACTATTATCTTGGTTATATATATATATAAATTACTTTATGGTGTAATTTTTTCAATTGTTTGTGTATTTTTATTTGATGAAACAGGATGTGAGAGGCTCAGATTTAGAGGAACTTTTGATAGGAATGTCATTACAGTCATTAGAGAATGACACACAGATCACATATGAGGAAGAGGAAGGTTTGTGTTCTTTTAAGTACTATCAGTTGTTTATATTCTTCATATTTATTAATGGTTATTATACTGATTAACATGTCTAGTATTAGCAAACGGAGCTTGTAAACACAGATCATTGTAAACACATACATTAATAGGAAAGGACTATGTACTCAAGACAGGGATATGCCAGCTGTATAACTTGTGTATTTCAAAATATTTGTATAATATCAGTGGTGTAGGTAGGGAATGGTGAGGATATACACACGAACAGCCCTTCCAATTTTTTCTAATTTTTAAGACTTTTAAATTCTCTACATTGTGACTCTCAGTGATATGAAAGTATTAATTTACCCACCTTATTCTTCCACCAATAAAAAAAAAATCCTAAAAATCCTGGGCATAGAAACTTTCTTTTTGCCATGAAAGAGAAACTTTCGTTGAACTTGAAATTGTCAGATATCACTTATACATTGAACAGTATTATTATAGAGCAGCTAGCAAAAACCTTAGAATTCAAGTTAAATTAGAAACAGTCAGAGAATGTGCAACATGAAGAACAAATCAATGCTAATTGCTTTTTTTACACGCACTATTTATTTACGAAACTTTTGATACGTGACACCAAAACAATAATGTAAAAAAAAAGTATTATAACTCTGCTTTGATAATAAGATTCTAACACTTAAGTTCTGAATTTATAAACATTACCTAAATCTAGCCACCACAGTACATAATAAAATGGTGAATAAGAGCACTTGTTTTCTGATAAGTATGTTATACTAGTGTTAATAAGTTGTTGTTTGTTATTAAGCACAAAGCTACACAAAGGGCTATCTGTGCTCCATCTCATCACAGGTATCAAAACCTGGTTTTTAGTGGTATAAGTCTGCAGACATACCACTGTGCCATTGGAGGGTATGTTATTAAGAAGTGGAAGTTTTACAAAAAAATGTCCAAAATACTAAATGTTGAAAGGATGCATGCTTGTTCGTTTTTAAATCTTTAATAAATATTTCCAATAATTCTGCTTGCTGTTTGAAAATATTGCTTTATAAGATTGAAACTTGTAGTAGACTGCTTCTGTTTTGTTTATTGAGGAGATCAATGTTTCTTTCTTAGGATAAATTGTTGTGGAGAAATTAATGTAAATGACATACAAAATCATGAACTTCTTTATTATTTATGTATTGAATGATAGTTTCCTTTCAGTAAACATAATATTTAAACAACTAACATTTCAAACTTTGTAATATGTAAAAACTTTGTATGTAAATATCTCAGTTATTTTTTTTATAATATTTAGAAAATAATCAAAGGCATGATTTGGCCATTGAAATTCAATATGAGCGAGATTGTGGATTCCCAGATTACAAAACAGCACTCCAGGAACAAGGATTTAATATTCACTTTGATACTTTCAATGAAATGGCAAAACTGTTTCCAAAGCTTTACCAATGGAAACCCGAGGTATGCCCATGCAATTGCAGTAAATGTAATACATGTATTTAATTTGTTAATAGTGTTAATTTGTATTTACTTCAAATTTAAGGATATTATTTTCTCATCATTAGCGTGAGTCAGTCGTCAAAAGCCGTAATTTAGATTTAACCATACTATAAAATATGAAACTCCAAGATGTTATTTATAAGTACATGTTTCTTTTTGTTGGAGTTACTAGTGTGAAAGTTGTTGACTTAAAAAATAAAAAATTACCATAATATCCATTTCATGTTAGGTAACAAATTATAACCATTTGATGTCAAGTAACAAATTATAACTATTTGATGTCAAGTAACAAATTATAACCATTTGATGTCAAATAACAAATTATAACCATTTGATGTCCTTGACATCAAATGGTTACTATTTGTCACCAGACACGAAATGGTTACAATTTATCTGACAATGAAATGGTTATAATTTGTTATTTGACATCAAATGGTTATAATTTGTTATTTGACATCAAATGGTTATAATTTGTTACTTCTTGACATCAAATGGTTACTATTTGTCTACCAGACACGTAACAAATTATAACCATTTCATTGTCAGATAAATTGTAACCATTTCGTGTCTGGTGACAAATAGTAACCATTTGATGTTAAATAACAAATTATAACCATTTGATGTCAAATAACAAATTATAACCATTTGATGTCAAATAACAAATTATAACCATTAGATGTCAAATAACAAATTATAACCATCAGATGTCAAATAACAAATTATAACCATTTGATGTCAAATAACAAATTATAACCATTTGATGTCAAATAACAAATTATAACCATTTCATTGTCAGATAAACTGTAACCATTTCGTGTCTGGTGACAAATAGTAACCATTCCGTGTCAGGTGACAAATTATGACCATTTCGTGTCTGGTGACAAATTATGACCATTTTGTGTCAGGTGACAAATTATAACCATTTCGTGTCAGATAACAAATTGTAACCACTTCATGTCTGGTAACTAATCATAACCCTTTTATGTCAGATTGTATATAATAATCATTTAATGACTTGTAAAAAAATCTAATATCCACTTTAAAGCATATGATATAGCAAGAATTTTGTTCAGTAAATTATTAATTATTCATTGCAGCTCTTCGATGAACTTCTTCCAGAACTGTATGGGAACAAAACAGATAATATTGATATCCTGGTTGGAATGCTGTTAGAGATATCGGAAAATACTAATCAGTTATTTCATAATGCTGTTCAAAATCAATTTCAGAGGATTCGGGATGGAGATAGGTTTTGGTTTGAGAATCTCAAGAATGGGTAAACAGATACCTCTATTGTGTGTGTGTGTATATTGAGTTGAAATGTTTTATCAAAATATTATTTGATAGTTTGTAAACACAGCCATTGGTATTTAGTTTTTTTGCCTCTTTTAAGTTATATTTTTTGTAGTAATTATAAAAATAGGATTACTATTTTTTAAATTTTGTTTTAATTGTTGACTGTCTTATTTTTTTTACATTTTAGTCTTGTGTATATGTTTGTAAACAATTCTCATTCCCAAAAATATAAACTACAAGGTAATGGATCAGTAGCATACATGATGATTTCATGTTATTACTCATGTATGTAACTTGCTTTAATGTTTGTGTTTTTACGTAATAACAAAGACACCAGATTTTTTACAAACTGTTGCAGTTTTGTGATATTTGATGATTTAATAACATTAACCCACATAATGCTGGGTATCAAAACCAGGGTTTTAGTGTTATAAGCCTTCAGACTTACTGCTAAGCCACTGGGGAGCTTAACTTATGATTTATTGTATTTGTTTTTAGTTTGTTTACAGAATCTGAAGTAAAAGTAATCAAAATGTTAAAGCTATATCATATACTGCAACTATCAATGAACACTCCAAGGGACATAGTCTTCAATGACTTCCATCTTCCATCCTCAGTTCTAGGTAAGGTTTAAGAAAGTTATATTCGTGTGATGTTTGGCATTTAATTGTATTATTTATCTGAATATAAATCACAAAGATAGCAGATATTTTTATTAAGTGAAACTACATTTAATAATGAAGGAGTATAGTACTCCAGCTGATATAGCCAACTAAGCTAATAATGACCGAGTATACTATGTTTTTAAGAAATAAGTTAACAAAACAGTTTGATAAATGAAGAATATCGTTTAATGTTGCAAGAATCCTGTAAAGTCCTTACATTATCAATTGAAAACTAGATATATTATGAGCAACAATATAAATCTCTATTTGTGTGTCTAGGTCTCAAATAATTTGCTCAGATGGGAATTTTAATACTTATATGCTTCTGAATTTTTACTAATCCGTATACAAGTTTTTTTATGTGATTGTAAACTGTGCAAAAACATTGAGAGATTATCAGAATTTGTTATAGTATAACTACAACAAGATAAAAAAAACAATCATAAAATGTTATATGTTACCCCTCTTGACTTGGACTTGTTGTTATGCAATTCATTTTGGGAGTGATATACATTATTTTATGACACTGGTTTTTGCTTTGTCATAGATAGAATCTTATAAATCCCAATTAGCTTTCAGTTGTTTTGTGTAATGCACATCACAGGACAGACACTTGTGTTAAAGTCAGTGTCTATTAATAAAGAATTAGGATTCCCAATTAGCTTTCAGTTGTTCTGTGTAATGCACATCACAGGACAGGCACTTGTGTTAAAGTC